TGGCTCTCTCCCTGGGTGTCTCCATCTCCCTGGGCCAAATCCCAACACCTGTTGGCCAGGCCTCTCATCCCGTCGTGGGAATCCTTCCCTACCAGTGGTTCCAGATCTCAAAAAACGCAATTGGTTGTGGAATTATTTAGGACCATTCCCACAGGCTGCAGAAGGCGCTGGAAAGGCTGTGGGAGGGGAGGGCAAGGGAGAGAGGGAGGGAAAGGGCTCTTCCCAGAGACATTAGCCAGGGAGTACTCAACTGGTGTTTGTTCAACCTCGCAGCTGGTACTCGGTGCTACCGCAAAGGCCCATTAATGGAAATAGGATGAGTTTGTGGATTTAAAAGGCTTCACACCCTCTCCATGGAGGGGCGTTAATCCTGGTCCTGGCAGATGAGCAGTCCTGGGAAAAGCTGGCAGGCGGTTTCACATGAGCTCCAACAAGGCCTGTTATGCCTTCTGCTTCTAGTCTGGGGTGCAAGGTTCCCTCTCTTTCCCACCTACTTTTGCTGCCTGGTGAGACCCACAGAATCCAGCTGCTTCCCGGAGTTTTTAATTAAGACACAGTGTATCCTCCGTAGACAGGAAGAGGCTCCGCTAGGGGGCTCCATTCCCGAAGCTGCCCAGGCTGGGTTGTAGAAGTATCTCCCTGGTCCTCTTTGGGCCTCTCTAGGCCTTCCCCACTTCAGGAGTCACCCCACACCAAGTTCATCTCAAAACTGGAAGTTCCACCAAGAGAATAAAAAGGAAGGGCACGATGGATGTTCTTTCTAGGCTCTGACAATAGGAAGCCACCTTTTTTTTTGGAAATGGGGTGACATCTATCTCCTCACATCATGACAAAGAAGACCCTGAAGGCTCACCCACCTGAAGTGTAAGGGAATGAGAGGGTGGGGGGAAGAAGCTTTTTCCTAAACATTGTCCTTGGTGTTCAAACTGGAAGACAGATCAGATCAATAATCAGGAGTGGAGAAAGCAAAAGTGGAGCTGGCTTGGGCCAGAGAGGGTACGGAGTTGAGCAGAGCAGAAGGGCATGTCGCAGGACACCCCACTTTCTGTAAAGCATTGCATCTTTTGCAACACTTGCCCCACCTCCCCCACACCCACACACACCCCCACCCCCACCCCCATAACCAGCAGTGGAAACTGGACCACTGAGTAATGGTTTCGCCAGCTCTGCAGTAAAGATCATAAAATACACCCCGGCCTGAGTTCACAGCTTCTTTATTATGCTAAATGATGAAGGCCACCAGGGTGAACTTTAAAGTCTTGCCCCTAGTGGTGGCAGGCCAGGGTTCAGCACAAGGGATGATGGGTTCAAACAGCAAGGCCTGGCAAAACCTAACCATAGCCACCTAGCAATTATTTTCTTGAGCATTTTTCTAATTTGGAGTAGGGTGGGGGTAGGGGAGTATTGACTTAGGACTGCTGAATGCCCATCACTCAAGTTGTCCCCACATGGTCTTCCCAGTGCCAGACTGTAGTTGTGGGCCAGAGATGGCTCAGGCCAGAGACTCCCAGCCTGGCTCCCCTGCGCCCAGCACAACTCAGGCCTCATGGATGCCAAAGGAGCCTCTGAAATGATACGTTTGTTCTGCTTTTACTGCTGTATATTTTAAGAAAAAGAATTGCTACACTGGAATGAATAGATTATGAGTAAATAAAAAGAAACTGTCAGTCTCTTTGAAGATTGTGCTTAAAGGGACTTGCCAAGTCAGGACACGAGAGTGACAAGATAGAGACCTTGGTGCTTTGCACGCTTAGCTGGGCTCTTCCGCTTCATCTGCACAGCACTAAAGGATGTGTTGATGCATTGAATCACAAGAAAAGTGGCATTCGAAATAAAAGGTGCCACACCACAATGATTGTAGTGTTTGAACTGTGAAGGGCTACAATCGAAAGGCAGGTCTATACAGAAGGGGGGAAGAAAGATACACTTTCATAACTTATAAGGAAGTTAGAATCTAACATTTGACTTTCTAATGAGTGTAATGAGATTACATGCCTGATGGGAGCATTTGTACAAAAGCAACTTTCATGTTTAATGAGGCCGTAATACAGGGCAAAATCGAATTATTTTTTTCTCCTTCTTAAATATCTCCAGAGTAAAACCAACTTTCAGGAGGAGAGGAGGTGGGAGAAGAGGAGGCTTGTGGAGGTGAGAGGCTGCAGGGCTCAAGGCCTCCTGGGTAACGTTGCGACCCAGAATCTTAGCGTGTCTGGCCAGGCCTCTCTGCAGGGTAGGTCCAGTTCCTAGCCTCGCTTTAATTACTTTTGGATGAAGTCCATGGCACCCGCGGCGCGCGCGGGGAACCCCTCGGTGGGTCTGAAACTAGGTTAAAGCGATTAGCATGCTGTCTGTACGATGTCCTCTGGCCAGGCGAGCGCGCGGGGGCGGGGCGGGGGGGGGGGGCGGCGGGGGTTGGAGTAGGCAATGGGGAGATGAGCGATCGTACCTTGACTCCCCAGGCCTGAGCTACCCTTGACCCGGCCTGCGGTGGCTCCTAACCAAAGGTTTCATGCCAAAGTGAGCGTCTCCTGCCCTGCCCCCCACGGGCCGGTCCCCCACTAGCCACCAAGAGCTCAGACACCACTGACCGGCATCTAGAGCGCCTGGGAGTCCACCGTGGCCCATACAAGTCCAGCCCAGGCTCCCTGGGCTTTCTGGATGAGGGTTCAAACTTCTCCATCGCTTCTCTTTCGGTTCGCTAGAGGGCGACCCTGCTACCTCTGTCTCAAGTGCAGAGGTGGCTGAATGGCCACGGGGTAGAGAGCTTCTCTTGGCCTTACCCCAAACCCCTGAAGGTTGTGCGGGGTCTCCTGACAAGGTCAACTTCTTTATTTCCTTTCAGGGGAGAGTCTGACTTTCGGGAACCTGATGTTTACCTACAGAAGGGATGCATCAGGGCCCAGCTCTGGAGCAGTTCTTTCTCCCTAGCCAATGCAAGCAGAAAAGCCCCCTCCCCTGCCTAGCCATGAATCTAGACTCTGATTAAGCACTATGACAGTCACTTGGGCATGCCAAGCAGTGTCCCTAGACCTCAGCTTTCCCACTCTGGAAAATGGGAATAATACATTACCTAGTTATCCTGTGGGGTGTTTGGTAGTGAGGGTATGAAGACAGGCCAGTTATTACTATTGAGAGCCAGGATGACAGATTAGAGGCTATCAGAAAGCATGGATTTATTCTCCCGCCTATACACACTCCCATTTAAACCAAATCTAAATGAAATATAGTTTACTCCTAGACAGTTAGGATTTGAGCCTCTATTCCTGTCTCTTTTAAGAAAGTTAATCCTTTTGAATACAGATCCTCCTATGATCTACTAAACAAACAACATATAGAAACGAGTGAATAGCATTTATTAACAACGCGTAGAAATAAATCAGATCTGCCGTTAAATAAGCATGAAAATGTCTGACCATAGTTCTTCCGACAACTCAGAGTCCTGCCAAAGGTGCCGGGGACAATCATCCACTGTTGCATATTATAGAACATCATGATAAATTATATAAATTATATATTTAAAAAGAGACGATCTATCTCATTAACTCAACACAATAATAAATAGATAAATAACAAAGCTGATTGCCATTAGAAAAAATGTGATCTTTAAATTACATTTACATTATAGGTATTTACACCGTACAATATGCACAAAGACACACAGCTGGCCTGGTGTGAGCTTTCTCAGGAAACAAACTCAAAAGGTGGTTCGTTCTCTATGTTGTCGAAAGATTTGCTGTTGAGTTTTCTGGGGTCCTCTGGGGTCCAAACTTTAGCTGTACGGATAATATTTTGTTCTTTGAGCTGTTTCTCATCAGTCCATGAGAGAGAGTGCCCAGCAAGAGGAGGGAGGCCATAATCCGGGTCACTGGGGGAGGGCGAGCCTGGGAAGGAGAAAGGAGAAAACAGATTGTGAACACCCAACTATGTTCCCAGTAGTCACCCATGGTACTTCAGTCCCCTCTGAAGCAACTGAGACACTCCTCTACCCCACCTCTCAAACTCTGAGCGCCCTCTCCCTGAAACCAAAGGAGGTGCACGTCTGACTAGGACGCACGTCCTCCAAGCTTGGGTCAAGTATCAGAAAACAGAATCGAAAAGTCGTCCTAAAGGTTTCTAGTGCCCACCCATGGTCTATCCTCATCAATCAGCCCTCTGCGCCAGGCCTCCTAACTTTCTGTCTCTGTCCCGTTTCCCTAAGCTGATGCTAAGACTCAGAAGCACTTACGGGTGCCTCGATGGCAGATGATGACCTTCTGGGCCTGGTTACCGGGGCTGTCCCCGCCCAGGTGCCTGCTGCCACCTGGGCCCCCGCAACCGCCTGTGCCACCACCGCGCAGTGGCAGGTCCGCCTGCACCAGCTCGCTGAGGAAGTTGATGTAGCCTATGGCCAAGCGCAGCGTGTCTACCTTGGAGAGGCGCTTTTCGTAGGGCAGTGTGGGGATGTGCGAACGCAGCCCCTCGAAGGCGTCGTTTATGGACTGCATGCGGCGCCGTTCGCGCACATTGGCTGCTTGTCGCAGCTGCTGCAGCTCCGCCTCGGAGCGCACGCGTCGCCGTCGCCGTGCTGCCGCTGCTGCAGCAGCCCGGTTCAGACCACGGAGCCGCGCCCCAGGGGACAGTACCGCTGTACAAGGGTAGGCAAGGCACGAGGGCGGCGAGCCGGGCGAGTAGGGGAAGCCGCCTACGGGGGCACCTGCCTCACAACAGTAGCCGCCGCTGTCCTCGGGTTCGCTGGGGTCCCCCAAAGGCGGCGGGGCGAGCGCATGCGGGGCGGCCGAGGGTGCGGGCTGCAACAGCAGGCACGCCCCGTCGCGGTAGCAGTATTCGTGCAGCTGATGACTGAGGAACTCCACCTCCGCCTGCTCATCCCCCAGCAGCTCGTCTCCGTCCTCCAGTGGGTCCCGAGAGGACTGATCGGTGAAGAAGTCTTCCTCATCGAAGTAAGCAGACGGGAATGTGTCCAGGCCCCCGGGAAAGTGCTCCAACAGCACGGCGTCCATGACGGCCGCCACCCAGGCCCAGGGAGACTGCTGGGCTGCTCTGGGTGACGCTTAGTGAAAGATCCGTGGCAGTTCGGGCAGGTCCCGCTGCCCCTCCCTCGTGGGGCTGGCACTGAAGAAGGCGAGTAGACTGCGGGTCCCCGCCCCAGGGCCTCCCTGAAGTGCGCTGCTTCAGGCTCTGGCTGGCGCTGGGGTTGTACTGGGGAGGGCTGGGACCCGCTTTTTGGAGCTGAGGGCCGGCACGCGAGGATTCTTATAACTACATCCACAGGCGCGTGCCAGGGACCCTGCGCGCCAGCCAATCAGAGCGCGTGGAGTGGTCGGGGAGGGGACCCGCAGGACTGGCAGCCGCAGGGGCAGGGGCGCTGTCCTCAGTTCCCAGTTCCTGCTGCTGAGCGAGGTGCTGCTTTGCCCGCTGCAGCTTTCTTTGATACCTGCCCAGCGCTCAGCTCCCTGGACTACCTACAGCCCATGACGCTCGCTTTGGGTCCTCAGTGCTGCGCAGTGCAGCCCTAGGTTTTCTCCACTGCACTGGAACATCTAGCAGAGGTCCTAGGCGCGAGGGACTGGAGTCCCAGCCAACCAGGGTCCAGCCGGCAGCCTGAGCAATCCAAGGGTTCTCAGAGACCGGTCGGAGATGTTTCTCTTCATACCCGGGCATAGAACGGGTGCTCTAGCCTGGATCAGGTTTGGGGCTTCTATGCCATCATCAGACCCTTCCAGGACTCTTGCAAGTTCACGAAGGATGCACAGCGGTTTGATAGTGACCTAGTACTACTCCCTAAGAGTTCTAGACGCAGCACAGGGAGCAGGAGCCATGTCCAAGGGCGCCACTCGGAGTAGGTCTGCCTCTCTCTGGCCCCAAGAAAGAGAGACCAGACGTGAGGGGCAGGTTCCAAAGCAGCGCTGTAGGGTGCAGGGTGCGTTTCTTCCACAAGCAAATCCAGACCCTGGGGGTTCTGAGCAATAAACCCGCTACAAAAGAAGTCAATTGAATTGTTCAGTGCTGAGCAGTCAGGAGTGGGGGTTGGGAGGTGCCATTGTAGTTAAAGAGCAGTGTAAATGATTTTCAAAGCCTGGGTTTCACCTTTCTGACTGGCCACCCGACCATCTTGGAGTGACTTCTCCCCCCTCCCTTGCCCTTTCGACCTTACTTCCTATTTTCAGACACCATTAAACGAACGCAACCAGCCCCAAGACACACTTTCTCACAGACTGAAGTGCAACAAAGAAACACTTGTTCAAGGTCGCGGCGGTTCCATCCTGTGAGAGTAAATGCTACCAGGACCAGTCCTGCAGTCTTTCAGCCCAGGACTGGTGTTGTCAATTCTGAGCCTGCCACTTCTCTTTTCAGACAATTTTCCTCAGAGGCGTCCTGAGTTATTAAGACTCCCTTCACGCCCACGAGTTAAGAAAGTGTCTTAAACACGTCTCATTTTGGAAATTTCACTGTAGTCAAACAGAATTCCAAGGTCCAGTCTTTAGGGCCAAACAATGCCTAATACTAGACCAGAAACTGAGCTTCCTTGATGTGTGGGAATCTCCAGACATTTTAACCCAAAGACCACGGTTTCACAGTAGGTTCTTTCGTGTGTTAGGTTTTCAGTCTGTGTCCTCCTTCATACCCCGGTGGACAGGTTCCCTGTGATGGAGGGAGGATACCTTGGAATATTGTTTTTACTTAGATGTTTCTGTGATATCACAGGGGTGGGATGGGAGGGGGAGCTGTAGGTTCCAGCTGTAGGCATGCACCCAACTTTCTCACTCTGAAAAACACCCAATGCCTGGGCATGGTAGTCCATGCTTATTATCCCAGGACTCCAGAGGCTGAGGGAGGAGGATTGTGAGTTCAAAGCTAACCCTGTCTAAAAGCAAGGGTGAGGGCATACAAAGTTCTCCTTACCTGACTTAATTAGAATAAAACTAAGAGAATCAACCTGAGGATTTGCAAGAAGAATAAATAGCCAGATTTCAAAACCTTACCCAAAATACTGATGACCAACCAGTGCAGAGAATACTGGATTTGAATCTATAAAAACCTTCTTGGAGAAGTAAGACGATCCCCTCTGGTGGGTGTAGGCAATGCTTGAGAAATTGTATTTGACTCCTTGATACGTTAGTGGGGTGCTGAGAGATTTGAGAGTGAGTGTATATGAGTATCTTTGTTGTTAATTGGATTGTTAATAAATTTGCTTCCTTATGGGAAACCAACCTAATAGGTGTTTGGCGGAAAGTTCCAGAAATACTCCTTTGGCAATCAAATCAAATAAGCTGATGGGATAGGAGGGTCACTCCTGGTGGAAGCCAGCAGAGTAAGAAGCGGGGGGGGGGTTAAAATTAGAAAAGAAAGCACTGGCTTGCTTTGTGTGGAACCTTCTGTCGCTCCTGTCCTTCCTACCCAGTCTTCATGATTTCCTCTTAAGGAACTGCTGGCTAGCTGCACAGTGGTGCTGGCTAGCTGCACAGTGGTCTTGGTTTTGTCAGAAAGCAGAGACAAGACTTACACACACACACACACACACACACACACACACAACCCCTAAGTAAGACATGATTATTCTTCTGGGAATAAGGAGAATTTTCTCTGGGTCACTAGAGGTCCCAACAGTGTGGATAGCAGTCCTCTGCCATTCCAAATGACAAGCTGGATGAGAAGGCTGAGACTGAACCTTGTCCTGGCAGATGAGATGCCGCTATTCTTATTCTATTCCTTTCTCCATCATCACGAATCCTCGGGGCACTGGGAAAATATGCACACACCTACTATCAAAATCCGTAGACAGTCCACAGAGAGAGAAAGCTGGTCACACTATTCTCTAACCAATTCAGACTTGCCTTTCTCTCCACCCTGTCTTTAGAGGGAACATTCCCAAACCCTACAAGGGACTTTCATCTCACTAGAAGATGGCATTCTCTGCTCCCATGGAGGACAGCAGAACGAGCCCCAGCTACCCTGCTACCAAGTCCTGCTGACACTTCTGGACTCTTTCACGTCTTTCAGTGGGGCCTCTTAACCTCCTGGGACTGCTCCCAGGTCTCAGCACTGGCAAAGGCCACTGGGCTTGAGCCTGGGCCTCCCACCTCAGCCCATTCTCATTGCCTCCTCCAGAGCCTTGGGTCTGCAGTCTTCACTTGTTTCCTCAGACCTTTCTGGCCATTTCGCAGAACAATGACGGAAGGGCTAGAAATCAGGCCTCTAATTGCCCCCCGAATGAACTGGGTGAGAGATATTAGTGAGGATGGGGCCTTGGGCCTTTTGATTTCTCACTGAAGGTTCTTGGTGCTGCACAAGATGCTGCAGGTGCCCTTCTGAGACTCAAACAGTTCCAGTCTTCTTGCCCACAGCATCCCACAGGCCTCTCTAGTGCTTGAGAGCAAGTGGGGCTCAGTGCACCTCCAGCCCCTAAATGTGTCCCAATTCCTTGTAGTTTAAGCTTTCCCCTTACCCCTTCCTCTCAGGGTAAAAGCAGGTCTATGGTTGTCCTCTCCTGTTTCCTTTTCCTTCTCTTCACCACACCCACATCTCTAATCTGGGGTAACTTTTTTCTTTGCTTCAGTGTCCAGTATACTCATCAGTCTGCTTTTTAAAAACCCTTACACCCCTAAACTAGGATTTGAAAATAGAGCCAGAGTTGATGCTGAAAGACTCCTAAGGTCCAGTGAGCGTCAGTGACTTCCCTAAGGTTGATGTCAGAGCCAGTTCACTGACTGGTGAAAACAAACACCAGCTCCACTCCGTCAGGGGTGTTTGTACTGATGTACTGAAGTCCATCCAGGCTTCTGATAAAGCAGCTCAAGTGATCAGTACTCACCGAACCCTACCCTGTTCTCTGGATCACTGCTGAGCCTATAAATGACTCCTAAAGAAGAAATCACTCAGTGGTGCCACACCCAACTTAAAGCAAAGGATGCTAAAACCACTCTGGAACCAGCAAAAGTCTCTGACCACTGGTGTCATACTCTGTAGATTAGGGGAATTTCCACCTAGAAGACTCACCCTGTGAATGCAGTATCTCCTCCCATAACCCCCCAGAGATGTCGAACTCCTTATGTTGGTGTTGAGGATGGAGCCCGGGGCCTGCACTGTACGCATATGTAGCCTCCCAGCTTCATCCTGAACTCCACACCACATGAAGACTTTCTCCCTGCCTCACCCTGCTCTCTACCCTGGATTGTCATCTTCTGAGTGCCTGTGCCTTCAGATGCCGTGATATTGTGTCTTCGGCTCTGGGAACCCCATGACTCTTCTCTCCAATAGCTGTGAGGTCCTTGTTTGACTTAAAGACCTTATTTTAGAAGATTTTCAAATATATTTCTCACTCATCTTCATAATTCTTCAAGATAAATGGAGCTCCTTTTTATTCTACAGAGAACCACATGAGAGTGGACACTGCTTGGCCCATTAGCTCTAACTTTTCACTGGCTAACTCTTACGTTAATTTAATCCATTTCTATTAATCTGTATATCACCACATGGCAGTGGCTTACCGGGTAAAATTCAGCGCATCTACTTCTGGCTGTGGATCCATAGTGTCTCTCTTACTCTGCTTCCTTTCTCCCAGCATGCCATTTAGTGACACCCCCCCCCCCAGCTCTGTTCCTCTATAGCTCTGCTATAGGCCTCAAGCAGTTCCTTTATTAACCAATGAAAGCAACACATAGACAGAAGGACCTCCTACAGCACTTCGTCTACTGAGCTGTCTTCATACAAGCCCCATTTTAAATTTTGGAAGATCATTTCCAAATAAAAAGCTACCCAGTGACTTACGGACTGGATCCAAGTGACACAGCTCACATTTGGGTCCATGATAAAAACTGAGCAGATCTGGGCAGTGGTGGCGCACGCCTTTAGTCCCAGCACTTCGGAGGCAAAAGGCAGGTAGATCTCTGTGAGTTCAAGGTCAGCCTGGTCTACAGAGTGAGTTCCAGGACAGGCTCCAAAGTTACAGAGAAATCCTGTCTTGAAAAAAAAAGAGAAAAAAGAAAGAAAGAAGAAAAGA